TGAGATGCCAAACCGCCGCCCTCCTGTGAACGCCAAATCCAAGAAACACCATTAAGCAGGCTTTACTTCTTCGCCCTCCGCTTCCCCTTCTTCTCAGGAACGCTGGCGCTCCCTTCCGCGATTTCACCAGCCTCGATCTCGCCCGCCTTCTCCATCTGCTGCAACTTTTCTTGTCCCGATATAAACATGGACAAATCTCTGTTCATCTCCTGCAGCTCCGCCACCTGCTCCTTGTAAGACGCCTTGCTCTTCTTCAGGGCTTCGAGCTCCGCTTTGTTGTGCTCCACGCGCTTCATGAGCCCCTGCGTCACTTGCTTCTCCTCCTGCAGGGCTTTGCCCATGTTGCGGGCGAGTTCCTGGGCCTTGGTGGCCTTTGCTCGATCGCGCTCTGCGTCCCGCTCGAGTTGTGGAATGACTTGAGTTTGGAGACGTGTCAGCTCCGTCTTAAGGGTGGCATTCTCTTCTAGAGCTGTGGTAGCTTGTGCCGATGCAGACTCGGCTATCGCTGCTGCTTTCGAGGCCTTGTCTGCCACTTTGCTGATCATCTCCTCAAAGTAGACTCGCTGTGACTCGAGCTGACTGGTCAGGAGGTGAGTGTATTCCAAGCCAATATTGTCCAGCTTTGCACGGGGAACAGTATCTTCGTAACCGCCTTCCGGCCCGTGGTGATGTCCGTTGCTGCCTGGGAGCTCCACGACCTTACCGTCGCCCTTATCACGGATCAAACGATGTACCCACGTATCCCCAGCGTAATCCCATACATGCTGTGTCTCCAGCTCCAGAGAGAAGCTATGCGCCGTCTCTTTCCAGTGGTCCTTAGCATGGCCGCCCTTATATCGACCACAGCCGACATTTCCGCAGATCAGGCAGATCCATAGGTCATCGGTGGAATCGCAAACGCTGCACAGATTCGACACGGAAGAGCCAAATGGTTGTGTATATGGGTTTGATGGATCGTATGTGGTTTCGGGATTCGTGTGTCGGCAGACCGGACATCCTGAGCCTTTCCAATTTTGCAGGCAGGTACAGTGAAAGACGTGCTGGCAAGGAATCGTCATTAGACCTGTCGTATCGTCCATGCGCTCGAGGCACACGGGGCAAGTAGGTAGTTCGATAAGATTCGGGGTCGGCGGAGGGAAAGGCCTGAGACTGCTGGAGGCGACGACGGAAGAAGAGGAAGGCGTGAAGGGGTCGTGATTAAGGTCGGGAAATGTCCTGTTTTCTCGAGTCGGCGTCTCAAAGGTGATCGATTTAACGAAGACAACATGGCAAACTTGCGCCTGTAGAAGAGTCAGTTGCACGGCGGCGTCAGGGCTTGCAGTTGACTACTCACCTCCATACTGTTGAAGACCTTTCCGTCAAACTCCCTCTGCCACGCCCTTGCCTTCTCGCTGTTTCCAAACTTGAGGAGCACTAAATACCGGTTCATCCTAGCAGTCATGACCATTCGCCAGTGACTGATGTCATTCCTCCATTTCTCCCCGACATAGCCGATGAAGTCGCCCGGGCTCAGGTAACTTGGAACTGCAGGTATGCAAAGCGTCGTGCAGTCCTCTGCCTCGACGTCGTGTCCCTCTGAAGACGGCAGTCCCAAGGAAGGTGTTCCCTCCTCGTCGCGGTAAAAATGTACTACTCCCCAGCCCACTTCCGTACTCTTTGTGTCGAGAGGGACATATTTTGCCTTCGTGGAGATTCCAGCGCCACCAAATGTTGGACCAACGCCAAGGTCTGCCCCAGAGCTTGTTGCCTCGGCCGCCATTTGATCTGTATTCTCGTCGCTTTCTGACTCGATGTCGATGCTCTCGATGCTGACTTGACCAAAGCGCCAGTCCTTGACTGCCGTCTCTGGTCGGATCGCTGCCGAAGAAGGCGGGGGAGGGAAGCTCTGCGTACGAGCTCTCCACTGCCTCTCGGTTATCCTCTCGATGTTACTGCCACTATCTTCCTTGGCCGGAGCTCTGGAAGGTCCGCAGTCGATGAGGTTCGGGTTCGAAGTAGTTTCCGGCGCTCGGTGTGTGCTCGATCGATAGGTATCGGCGGGGTAGGGTGGTTCGAAGGGTTGTAGTGGTGAAGGCTGCGGTCGGAAGCTCGTACTCGGCCTCTTCGAACTTTTCCTGGAATGCGCGGGAAGTTCAGCGAAGATGTTGGCGCCTTTCGGCGGAAGCCACACGTCTTTACTGAGGGCTTCTTCCTGCTGTTTCCCTTTGACGACGTTGGTGTCGGCGAGTGCGGGGCTTGAAGTGGGATAGAGCTCGAACTTGAGGTGGTAGAAGAAGGTCCGCATAGCCCTTCTCAGCCTCGCAGGCTGCTGTGAGACGATGCTGGTAGACTTTGAGACTCAAATGCTGCGTGGCTGGTGTAAAAGACCTCCCAAACTATGGAGGCAAAAGAACGCGAGTTTCCAAGTGTTTCCAGGACTTCCACGGGCTGTTCATGTCGCGGCGCAACTCACGGAATCGGGCAGGATAATTATGTTGTGGGGAAGATTTCAATCATTTAGGCGCGAGTTTCGAGGAGCTTTAGGAGCGTGCACTCCGCAGCCCCACCGGTTACGGACCTCGTTCCATCAGGTACGTCACTGATAAGCGATAAATGGGTCAACCTCCAGACAGTGACATTCGCATCGCAACAAGAAATGAAACAGAAATATCACGGTACAGCAATGCAAAGTGTTTGAGACTTCAATAGAGTCTAGTATTGACGCTTTCATGAGCGTATGAGTGCCTAACTAACTTCTAGGAATATGTGAAGATATCATTCAGAACCATTGTCCCGCCGTAGTCGTAATCCATTAACGCCATGCCTCGTACAAGGCAACTTCCCCATCGCTGATCCGTCGCTTACTGACCGCCACGAAGACGGAGGACGAGATGAAGGGTTGATTCCTTCTGGATGTTGTAGTCGCTCAGAGTGCGACCATCTTCCAGCTGCTTTCCGGCGAAGATAAGACGCTGCTGGTCAGGAGGGATACCCTCCTTATCCTGGATCTTGGACTTCACGTTATCAATCGTGTCAGATGACTCGACTTCCAACGTAATCGTCTTTCCAGTCAGCGTCTTGACGAAGATCTGCATACCACCACGCAAACGCAGGACGAGATGCAGGGTGGACTCCTTCTGAATGTTGTAATCCGACAAGGTGCGACCATCCTCAAGCTGCTTTCCGGCGAAGATCAAGCGCTGCTGGTCGGGAGGGATGCCCTCCTTATCTTGGATCTTCGACTTGACATTGTCGATGGTGTCTGAAGATTCAACCTCGAGCGTGATCGTCTTGCCGGTAAGGGTCTTGACGAAAATCTGCATACCACCGCGAAGACGAAGAACCAAGTGGAGAGTGGACTCCTTCTGGATGTTGTAGTCGGACAGGGTACGACCATCCTCAAGTTGCTTGCCAGCAAAGATCAAACGCTGCTGGTCAGGGGGAATGCCCTCCTTATCCTGAATCTTCGACTTAACATTGTCGATAGTATCAGAAGACTCGACCTCAAGGGTGATGGTCTTGCCAGTGAGCGTCTTGACGACTACAGAATGGATTAGCAACCACATATCTGGGGGCAGCATGGATGTAGAGCAACTTACAGATCTGCATACCACCACGAAGGCGGAGAACCAAGTGGAGGGTAGACTCCTTCTGGATGTTGTAGTCGGAGAGGGTGCGGCCGTCCTCGAGCTGCTTGCCAGCGAAAATGAGACGCTGCTGATCGGGGGGAATGCCCTCCTTATCCTGAATCTTGGACTTCACGTTATCGATGGTATCGGAGGACTCGACCTCAAGAGTGATGGTCTTGCCGGTGACTGGGAGGAAAGATGTCAGTTATTAATGGGAATGACGCTTGGATGCCTGGATGACTTACGGGTCTTGACGAAGATCTGCATGATGGCAACTTCGCTGAATTCTGATGTGTGGTGTTGCTCTTTGGTATTACTGAATGTAGTTGCTCGTAACCGAGTGATCGCTGATGAGAGATTCGTCGAGCGGAAGTATTGTATAGGGGATGTGATGGGGAAAAGGAGGAGGGGAGAAGGATGAAGAGGTGAAGTGGCTTAAATACCGAAAGGCAACCAAGGTGTCAGAGTGATGCGGCCTGCCTGAAGGCGGGAAGGAAGGAAGGACCTGGAGCCAAGTTGGGTGGTGGTGCCTTCCTGGGTGCTTGGTGACTGACTGGCCGCGGAAGGCAAGGAAGGCAGGGAAGGAGGGGTCTGATTGGAGGCGCAGGTGTGAGAAAGTGGGGCAGGTTATGCAGTTGGTGGCACTGAGTGCCTTCTTTCTCAGTTCTGAGTGCCTTGTCTGGGGGAATGGCGAATGATTCATCAGCAACTGCGCAAGTGTCACAAGGCGCTAAAGTAGGCAGGAGCAAGCCGGAACCCTCCAGAACCAGGTGGGCCATTTTCTCGGAAATCCGTACATCTACCTCCAGACTCACACAAATCTCAACCCTCAAAGAGGTAGAAGAACCTCTTCCTTGGTCCTTATCGCACGCTTCTTGACCACGAACCTGGGAAGGCTGGAACCCAGAGTGCTGTGCCTGATGTCTCAGTTGCGACTTGCGCTGGAAGGTTGGCCACTCGTCGCCGCCGCTTCTTTGATCAGATGGTCTCGTTCATGCCGCCCCTGCGCGGTAGTCCCAAGGTCAAAACACACGCAAAAAGACAGCGAGGTGTAAGATCTAATCTGGCATACCCGTCTGAGTGTCAGCTTCCACAAGATTTCGACATCTTTGCCTTAGTTTTGGTGAAGCTGCAAGACGACTGAATTTTGGACAGGCAAACCCCCCGCGACCTCGATACCGCTAGTCTCCTGCAGCGTCTCGAGAATGTCACTGATGAACTGATGGGTCGCAAGAGGCCCACCGCCAATCCCTGTACCTACTCCGCCTCTTCCCGGGCGTCCTCACTTCACCTCTGTTTACCACGTCCAACACGACCGGGAACAATCGTCACCGCCGACGACAGACACTGGGGCTGAAGACTTCGCCGAGCGCATCCTGAGGAATGCCCACGATGCTAGCTGCCGATAGACTCGATACTTCCCATATCGAAATCAAGCAGGCTGGCAAGGCTGGCTTCGGTTTGACACCTATGACTGGAATTCGTCGTGTCTCACCTGCGCTTGACGGATTCCACGGATGCCAGCCAAAAGTCAAGCGTAAAGAGCGAAGAGCAAAGAGGCACAAAGGGTCAGAAACAAGTCCGAACCAGCTGTGACTGTCACTGACAAACAAGCGCCCCACCCGCCACCCGGATAGGCAGACCGTAGCGGCCAGGAAACAACCCCAACTTGAGTCCTCGTCCACTCAACACGCACTCAGACTTAGAGGCCTCAAGCAATGCAGTCGGCAGCGAACATGAGAATCGCCACCTCCAGAGCCTCTTGGTTAATCTTTGCCCCGTCCGAATCGCTCGCTTGCTAATCCCGTCGCCCCCATACAAAGCTTTTCTCAACCTCATCCCAAGTCGCCACGATGCCTTCCTTTCGACTTGGCCGGCGAGTTGTTGAATGTCGCCGGCCACTCCTCAATCCTCACCCAACATAACACGGCCAAACACTAAAGTGCGGAGAAGGACCGGCGAGACCGGGGTGGCAGGTGAAATGAGCCGACGTCATCCCAAAGGCCACTGCACCCCCAACCTCTCCCGAACCCTGATTTTACGAACCACCGCCCGAGGCAGACAGACAAACAGGCAGTTTACCAATACTTCAGCCAAAGACGAGAAAAATCATACGGATCCCAGTTCGGCGTCTCCAGACAGACAACCAACTCATTGAAAAAGTTGTCTTCAGCATGATCAGAAGAATGCGAACCTCCGTATTCTCTTCCGAAGCGACGCTTTCGTCAGGCGAGGAATGAAGCGATGGCGACATCGGTCTTTGCTCGCTCGTCGCTCGGGCCTTATCGCGACATCTGTTCACGCGCTTTCCTTCCAAGGGGCCAAAAGGCGACGTTTCGCCCACACGAGCGAGACACACCTACACACCCCGCGCCCAGCACCGCCCCCGTCAATACCTGGGAGACAATGGTACAACTACAACCCGACCACGTTGGATGCACTTTTCTTCTGCAGCACAAACACCACCACCATAAGCATCCTTGCCCCTCCAGCCACTCTTCTCATTGGTTTGGGCGAAATCGAACCAGACGCCTAAGGGTGTTGTCCCCCATCCCCATTTGCTGCGATAAGGCCCTTCTTCCCCTCATTGACCCTGCTTTAAGCCCGCAGAGGTTCGTTCCCCAGACTGACTAGATCACGTTGCTCTAATCTAGTATGGTTCACCACGTTGTGGGCTGCACGCCGAGGCTTGCATTCTGTCTCATCTGACCCTCATATTTCCCTGCCTTGTCTCATTGACCTCTCAAGATATCCGTACCGGCGTACATGCATCTCACTTGGGACAAAAGCTTCACATCTGGGACACGGGCTGGACAAAGTGCATAGTAACTCATTGTATGAAGGGCGCGAAACAAACAATCTCGATATATCGATTTTGACCCAAGTTAACTACAACAGCGTAAAATGCCGATATCGGCCAATTGTGCCTCTCCAGTTCTCTGTGTGAAGGTTTTTTTCTTTTTTTGCAGAAGGGCCCTTCCAACGCCCAAAAATTCCAATGCATATCATAATCGTCTATGCTTGCTGTGCTCTGTCATTTGCATGTCGTGCCGGCATGATCGTCTCCATGAACGTCCCTGGCGCATGTCGCGTCTCTCTTTGCCGCAGCGCAGCCCTTCTCGCCTGCGCTCGACTCCAGACCACCAACCCCGTTAAGCTTCGAGTCATACATTCGTAATTTGAATCATGATAAAAGGTCGTAACACATCGCGATGAATCGTCGTGGTGGGGAGGTGACCAGCCGAAAAGAAGTGAAGTGAAGAGGTGGGGTAGAGATCTTGTGGTGTGTGTGTGTGTGTGTGGTGTCTCGTTCAACGCCGTCGCTGTGACTCGAAATAACAAAAGAGATGCCAAGAAAATTTGCCCACCCAGGGGCTTTTCAAAAAAAAAATCATAATCTCAAGAAGGAAAAGTAAATGGCAGCAATAATAATAGCACAGTAGAGGACAATCAGTTGGCGCGGATAACGAGCTTTGACAAGAACTTGTTCGACAAGCAGTCAAAGTCGTTGCGGTCAAAGCTGGCGTCGGGGCGAGTACGCAAGTATGCCTCTGTTTGGACTATTAGTGGTCTGCAGATACAATGGCCAGAATGAGTGAAACTTACCGTGCTTGATGACATGCTGACGGACTTCGGTCATGGCCTCGCAGACAGCGACGTTGTTGTTCAGGAGGTGGCCGTGCTTGGCGGTGTCCCAGTCCATAAAGGCAGGGAGCTTCTGGGAGATGGCGTGGAAGAGGCCAACAATGACACCGACAGGAGTGGTCTCCATGTCATTGCAGAACTTGTTGACGGCGGCCGGGTCGGGAACACGGTAGTGGCAGTCGAACTGCATCTCCTCCCAAACAGCGAGGAGAATGGAAGCCAGCATGAAGATGGTGGGCCAGTTCTTGAGACGCTCACCGCTGTAGACACTGGAGTACAGGGCAGACAGCTCCTCGAGAATCTCCTTCTGGAGCTCACGCCACATGTCGGCCATGGCACATTTGATCTGGAAGTTGATCATGACGGGGGCAACGGTCTTGCCGTAGTACTTGGAGTCCTCATCATCAATCTGGCCATCAAGCTGAACATCCTCGCCTTGGCTCTCGACCATGGTGATGTGCAGGGTGAGGTTGTAGGCAAGGACGAGCTTCAGAGCCTTACGGATGACGGGCATACGCTCCTTGACGTAGTAGCGGTGAGCAGTCTTGAGGATCTCGGTGATGAAGGGAGTGCCCTCGAAGTGATCCTCGATGAAATCCTCAAAGCCTCCATCAATGTGCTTGTCAAGATAGTCGGACAGAGCCTCAACGGAAACGCCCTTGGCACCGACATCGAGTCTCTCGGTGCGGATGTCAAAGTCGATGGGCTCCTGATCGGTCAAGCAGGACTCAACCCAGTCGACCTGGAAGCAGCTCTCATCGGCCACGTAGACCTCGCGGACGTAGACGGGGAGGGCAAAGCCGTAGCCGTGAGTGATCCACATGACGGTCTCGTTCTGAGCGAAGCCCTTGACATTGTAGACCGAGACACCACGTCCAAGGTGGCGCTCATAGTCGGCCTTCCAGTCCTTCATGAAGTAGCCGATATCCTTGATGTCAATACGAGTGCAAGGAACCTGCCACAGGCGGGCGTGAGACGGCTGGCAACCAGCACAAGGCTCACCCTTGTCACAGGTCTTCTTCAAGAACTTGCAACGCAGGCAGGCACGAAGCTTTCTAATCTCACTGGCCTGCTTGCGCTGCTCGGGCAGGAGAGGACCCTTTCTGCGGCCAACCTTCTTGACCTCAGTGCCATCCTTCTTGCCGGTTGAAGTCCGGCGAATGACGGCCTTGGTAGCCTTGCCGGTGACGGGGCTGCGCCTCTGGCCCGAGTTTCTCCGGGCGGTGGTGAGAATTGGGGGAGACGTGGCGCCGGAGCCGCTGGCGGGAGTTGGCCGGGTCGGAGTGGTCGTCTTGATGGGCATGGGAGCAACAGCAGCTGCAGGGCTGACTGTGTCGTGGTTGTGAACGTGGGCGTGAGTGTGAGTGTGTGCATGAGCGTGGCTGTGAGTATGAGCGTGGTTGTGGTTGTCTCCGAAGCAATTGCGGTGAGATCCGGCATCGACATATCCATCAGACTCGGGGGAGAAGGGAGAGATGGGGAAGGGAGCAATCTCCTCATAGCTGCCGAGTTCAAATGAATTGGCGCCGTCCGACGAGTCCGAGTTGGTTCTCAAGTGAAGTGTCTGGCTGGGGTTGAAGATTGCCGCATTGGGCTGTGCCTGTTGGAAGTGGTCGAATCCTGCTCCAGAACCTTGCTCAACGACCATTGACCACCCCTCTCCGTTGCCAGTGCTCGGCAGGGACAGGACCTCGAGGAAGGTACCCGTGGGCGAATTGCTGCCGATGCTATGTGACAGACCGTCGATTTGCAACGCTGAGGCAGCGGCTTGAATATCGTGCCAGCTCTCCATTCCCAAGCTCCAATTCATAGCCGGAACAGTGTCGTCCATGGGGGGCATCGTGTTGAAGGCGGATGCGAGTTGAAAGTTTGCGGCCTGCAGCGCCTGGGTCGTGGCGGGGAGAAAGTCGATGGGATTTGTCTGGAAGCCCGGGGCGTATGGGTTGTATGTTACGGGCATGTAGGCGTCGGAGACATATTGGGAGTAATCGGGCAATCCATGAGGGGCCTGTTGTTGCTGATGTTGATGTTGTTGCAAGGCCCAGTCGGTCAATGAGTTGACGGGTTGTTGATATGGTGAATGATGCGAGTGCTGGCTCAAAGGTGAGGAGCTATGTGAAGGCGAGTGGGCTTGTTGGTCCTCGGGAGGACTCGAGGCTGCGACATTGGAGGTCATATCCAAGGGAATGGGCCAGATCCTCTGAGCGGGCATGTTGGTGACGCTCTGGGGGCTGTTCTGGGATGAGGGGATTTGCGAGGCATAGGAAAACCGGTCCCGCTGGTCGAAGGAGGAGAGATCCAAGAGGGCGTCGCCTCCACTCGTATCGAAGTTGACATTCATGTTGGGTAAGATCAGTCGTGGAAAAAGGACCAACAACGGATAGGTGTAAGTCGAGAAAGGGGAGTTTGAGCAGAGATATGGCCTTTTTCCCCAGGACACCGCTCTTTCGTCGGGGTGGTGGTGAAGTGGATGAGGGGAGCAAAAGACCTTCTTCGCAGCGGCGACAAAGGTTTTGGGGGGAAGATGAGGTGGGTAGGAAGAGATTCGGGTGGTGAGAAGGGCGAGAGACTTGGTCGGGGGCCCCAAAAGCGGGCATGCGTGGGTGAAGAGGAACGACGACGAGCCCGCGAAAGAAGCGGTGAGAGATGCAGTTGAACCTCCAGCCCCGGCCAGGAGCAGGAGCCAATGAACGGGGCCACAGCTCCTTCTGCAGCTGCACGAGTGTGGGGCGGAGACGACCGGGGGGTGTCGCTCCAAAGTTGCGCCAGTGGGAAGGAGGTGGGAGGGTTGGGTGGGTGGATTGCACTTGCACACTCGCACTTGCACTGAGGTGGACTGGACTGGACTGGACTGGCAAGAACTGGCAAGAGGATGGGGAGGAAGCTGATACTTTCTGTATGGGAAAGAACTGGACCGACCGGCCCCTACCACCAGTAGGCCATTGGACCCATAATCCATGAAAGTGGGGTGGGCGGCTGCTCACGAGGGCCACTTTGTAACTCGACTCCATCCAATCACTCCAGCCGCCTCCGTGTGGGTGAGACTGTACTTCATCCTCCTCGACACTGTATTTTTGCAGGCGCTGGGCCAAAGGGTTGACGGCTACGTCTGGTGGTCTGGTAAGAAACAGTGGGATGAGCGGGTTGTAACACATGTCGCTAAGGTAAACATCTTTTCTTCCTGGCTGGAGCCTCTCTCTCTCTCCAGCTGCCTCCATCTGCCTCTGGGCTCTGTCTGCCCTTCATCATACCGATTAGGTGCTGCTGGAAACCCTGTCCATGGCGAATGGCTGGAAATCGATATTGGAAAGCGAGACATTGGATGGTTGTAGCTCTGGCCATGTACGTACCTTGAGGGTCGAGTGTCTTCCATTTTTTTGGACGGGACGGGACTTGGAGGCTTGGGGCTGCCATCCATCTTGCCGTCCTCGCACCCACGCCATCTGCCATCCGCCGCAGCCTCCAACGGTACGTACCTATCATGGTATCGCAGCCTCCATCAATCAGTACGTACCGGATCCACCCTGAGAGCGTTAATGGAAACGTTCTTTTCCGCCTTTGGCGACGTCGCTGAACCCGCCCGCCCAACCGCCCTCCGCCTCACCTCACGGCCCTCACCTTACCTCGCTCTAGTCTGCCGTGAAGTGTCTTCCACATTACCTTCACCATGTCCCGCCTACCACCACGTAACGTACCGATCAGCGAATACATACAGAGGTTCCAAAGTCACTTTTCCTCTCAACGCCAAATCATGCCGTCCATTTTCTCTCTCTACTGTGTAGATCTCACGAATCATGAGGCCCGCGTCGGATTCCTTTACTCCCCGTCACTCATTGTGGTTTCTTGCCTCTCTCCTCTCTGTCTACGGCGCAGTCACACACCCACCATCTTTTCTGTCGTCTCTGGCGCTACGGATATCGTGGTCATACCTGACCGAGAGCCCACATTCCAGAGCTCTCCTCGTGCCTGCAGCAAACAGGCCGACGAGGCCATAGTTTAAAACACCAGGTTCCGGATGATGACTTAGTGCCGCCCCAAGGGTCATCTTTCTCTTCGGATGATTCCTCAACAGCGTCAAACGCGACTGACCCCAAGTTGCCTCGAGGCTTTAACCCTGAGTCTTGAGGAACCTGATACCCAGGCAGAGCTCGGGCTCGAGGCTCGACCTAGAACCAGAGCTGGCTGGCCATCGGCACTTGCAACACCCAACCCAAGCAAAGCCAGACAGGCTGCGTCCTCACAAGCAGGCTCGCCTAGCCTCTAGGTGCAACTTGCGGTGCCCCTACAGACCTTGAGCTGCCAGAGACGACCTGGACGGATCTCGCCTCTCGCTTGACGCTGCTGCAGCCGCCACCACCGGCCACCTCTAGCGTCTATCATCAAGCACGTCCGGCATCAGCTATTGATCCCTCCTCCGAAGAAACATAGGACGAGCCTGGACGGCAAACACTGACGGGGTCATCCCAATCAGTCATCAGCCGCGCAAACTTACACTTAGACCTAGCGGGCTGCCCCGAGGCATTCGTCCGTTCCTCGCGACACCACGAGCTACGGAGGCCACGGACGTTGACCGGCTGCTGGCCAAGGCTCCATTGATCAGCATTCGACTGTGCTTCCCGTCCTCACACAATCACAGTGGCATCACCTCACCTGTGACCTGTGTGGCTTGTACGGACACAGTCAATCGTTGATGCGTCTGCGGTGCAACACTCACGACGTGATTCAGGCAGTGGAGGAAGCACCAAAAAGGACAGCGCACCCTGCACAGTGCAACGAGACTTGACAAAGAACGACGCCCACGGCTCCCTCTGACACTCTGGGAAACGATCAGCTCACGGCATTGGATCGGCTGCTGTCAACGGGCAACTCTATCTGCACCTCGCGTCAACGGCACGTTGGCTCTCAATTCAGTCCTCCTATCTGTCTTGTCATCTTCCGCCAGGGCCCCGTTCGCTTCATCGCCCTTCACCCATGAGTGAATTGATCCTCCACCCGGCCAACCGACGATGCTATGGAAATGCCATTGTTGCCGCCTTGTTTCTACAAGCGGCAACGCCGAACAAACAATTCCAAGGTGGAAGCCGCCCACTGGTAGCCTCGGTCGATAAAACTTAATAAGCCCTTGGCCGCGATGAAAACCTGGCTTTCTCGACCCTTACCATGATGCCAAGTCCACAATGGGCTGGGGTAGAGTCAGGGCCACCACTCTCACCACTGACCAGACCCTTCGGAGTTTTCAAGCCGCCCCCTACCACCGCAGTTAGAGCCCCACGAGCCAGGACTAGAGCAGCCATTGATAAGTCGCCTGTTGCGCAAGGTTTCGATCGCAAGTTGCCGCAGATCTGCCATGGTACATTAGCAAACGCAAGGATGAAAATCTTCTCGTACGGGCTCCAGTCGATAACGGATCCAGTGCCCAGACACCTGCAGCTAGCGTGGTACTCTATGCGAGTTGCTTGACGGCGAGAACAGACCATTCGTAGCTGCGACGTCGCTTTTCACGCCTGGATAGGCACTGAGCTGCTAACAACAGTCGGCTCAACAAAACCAAACGAGCTATCGCAGATTCGCACACCAGGCGAAGCCCCTCGTCCGATGGATTGCATCTTCGCTACAGTACAAACCCCGCTACGAACTGCAGATAGACAAAGCCACCATTGGCAATGGCCGGCTTTGCCTGGCCCTGTCGTGCCTGGGGCCCTGGGCTTCTGGCGCAGAACGACCTGATGTTCCCGATGCTCCTCTCCCCCCACAAGCGTGGAGACTACCTGCGTCCGGATTGTCTTCTTGCAGACCCCGCCACTGCCAGGCCCTGAGCCTCGAGGGGCTCTACTGCATTGCTGTTGGCTGTATCGGCATTCCGAGGCACCCAGGTGCCCAGAGCTATTCGTATCTCGGATGGATATCGACTGTCGTCGATGCCGATTGCGTAGGCAAGGCCGGACTACGGTGCGCGATACTGCCATATCCACGGTGGACGGGTCATACGGCACAGTGGAGAATATCTCGCGGGAATAGTTTCTTCCTGGCGGATCGCTGAATCGTGTGCCAATGGTCCGGCGGCCTGCTGTCACGGTTGTTACCCTCCCGGTGGTTGGTTGAATGTCCAACCACAGGCTCACAGTACAAGGTGGATCGTGGAAAGCTGGTGCAAAGACCATTGCGAGGCTTCAGCAGATCTCCCTCCTCTAGCTCGAACAATGAGGGGGGGGCAATGGGTGCACAGCCCTCAATCTGTCAAACGAACCAGTTGCAGATGACGAAACAAGTCGCAGTACAGGGTCCAGGCATGTTCAACGAAGAGCCGAGCTTGACGCGGTACGGCCAGCGGCCAGCGGCGACTTAACACGACGAGTTATTCCCCACCCGTATCACGGATAATGTCTGGAGGTGCGTCGCGATATTGAAAGGTTGTTGCCAACCAAGGTATATCCCGACTCCGAAAGGCATCCCATTATCTCCTGCTTCGACCGACCGATCAACGTCGCAAGCGGGAGTCTCTCTTAGCCTTTCATTGCCGCGAACGCACGTCTCCCCAATTGGCTTTGCCTGCAAATAAGGCACATCAGATCTGCGTCAGTTCCCCGATCGATGTCGCTTGTTCCCAGTACACCCGTTCACGGCCGTGGCCAGACCCTGCACACGCCAATTTCTCTATCAAAAAGACGCCAGACTCCAGGCATCTCAGTCTGTAGTTGGTCCAACATGTCCACTCCGAAAGGCACCGTCTCTGATGGCGAGTTGTGCCACTTGCCTCTTCTCGGATACCTGCATTCATGGCATAACGTCTTGCACATCATCTCGCATACTATACTTCTGACCGTTCATGTTTCTCCAACTATGACCCTCCTCGACGGAATGCCATGACGCCGCCGGACCCTACACGGACCTGACATTTGATGTGTTTCTAGAGAAATCGCGGTGACAAGTGGCATGAAGCATTTATCCGCCGAAGCCGATGTTGTACGAAGCTTTGAGTTCGATACTACGGAGCCGTTTGTCTCGTTTGAGATGCGAACCTCGTGCCAGAGTGAATCAACCACATACCAACATGCCAGCCAAATTCGACCGACACTGAGCGGAGCAGCAGAAGGCCAACGAATTGTCCGGCAGCAATGCGGGCGAGAGTCATTTTCCCCACGATCATTGGTGCAGGTCAAGGGGAACCGGCAAGGGGCTGCTCAGGCACAGTTGTGTCTTCCCGCCATCCCCCATGCCCATTGTACGGCAAAAGAAACCTGCTGCAAGCCATTCCCTGGATTTCGAATGTGCGGTGTGAGATTCTCGTCTGAAAGAAAACGCCTTCGTAGGGCCGTCAACCAATCATGCCGCATCCCATGTTGGCCGTTGGCGGGATTCGTCCGACGACTCTCTATGCCTACTATCTACCTTGCATTACGTGATGCAAGTAATGCTTCTGGACCGTTAGGAGAGACAGGAGGCTAATCGAGACTCGTGGCTGTCACCTCGAAGCATTGGCTCGAAAACAGTTGGTTTGGTACCTGACAATCGACAATTGGCTGATCTGTGTGAACCGTCTCGATTGATTTGGTCGGGACTCAAGTTGATACTTGGTCAAGTCACAGGCGAGACGCAAACCCTCAATTGATTGAAGACGGGGCCAATTGAGGGTCGTTAACCCCTCCTCAACCCCTCCTCCGTCGGACGCGGGGCACGGAACTCTCTCTCAAGCCCTGCCCAACTTACGACTGCAATTCGTCTCTCTGACAACCAACTTGACGGAATCACGATATTGCTAGTTTCGCGGGAACTTGGCGACAGAGATGTCGATGCCAATGCCTGGCATCGAAGGACGTTCCTAGCCGAACCTAGCCCGAGGTCTGATCACTTGATGGCCTCAAAGCTATAACGGCGCCATCCGCCTCTAGTGAGGGTGCTCGGATCTCTCGAGATCTTGACCGCTTGTTACCCCCTCAAGTGGTGTGTGGTCCAAGCTGCGCAGCCACCTCAAAGGGGTTCAAGAATGCCACCATTCCATTCAGAAACGGACCAAAATACCCAGTGTGGTGGGTTTTGTGAAGGCATTTGCAAGGTCTATTCTCCGCGCAGCTGGAATGCTGCTGAAGATAATTTGCATACCTTTCCTTCAGGATTCTTGACACATGAACGTCTGTCTGCTTCCTTGGCCATGCAGGGACGCACAGCGCTGCGCTGGCTCCAATGGTAATCCCAGGCGCTATTGACCGCTCTCTCTCTCTCTCTCTTTCACTATACACTATGCGGAAAAACTTGTATGCCGCAGGTGGTGTGAGTGGGCAGGCTTGTAACTAGTCACACCATCAAGGCAACTATTATTTGCCTGCTCCGTGCTAATTGAAGTGAATTGACTCGAGATTTGTCCGCACTTGTGTGTTGTCATGAAACTGGAAGAAATGGATGTTGCGTCATTCTCATACGGCACTATGCGCTTCCAATTCATTCCAGAGAAAATAAGTCCGAGAGGCCCGGTGATATGACCCAGGCATCCGAGAAATGTCGGTTGGACTTGTGATGAGTCAACCTTGTGAGTGGCAGCCCGGTTGCCCTCGAAGACCTGGAGAGCTCTCGAGGCCGGTGTCCAACATGGCAGAACGACCTGAGCTGTGGGCGTTATGCTCGTGGTCGTACAATGAGTTGAGCATCATGGCTAGCAGGTATACCTGATGCTTCGCCAGTCCAGAGCGTTGACTGCCAATGGATTTCGTGACTTTGATGCTGTTACTCGCAATTAAGTTCCGTCTTCGCCTTTTGAGTAGTTCGCACATTCATTTCCTGTCCGCAGGTCTCATTGTTGTCTTCATCTTGGTTCCAGGTGCCTTTGAAGATGGTCGTGGGAGCATCGGAGGTGGCTCGGCTTGTCAATGTTTGTTTCTATAACATCCCTTGAATCACAGGACCTGGATTCAGCTTGATCCATCATCGTTGTTTCGAAATAGCTACATCATATTTACTTCTCTTCTCGGTCCATCTACAAACTTACCTCGTCCGTCCCTCGAGTCCAGTCGAGGCGGCCGTGTCTGAACTCGAAATTCTCCCGTAAAATTGGACCCGCCGATGTTCTATACACCAAGAGGATATGTAGAATGTGGATGGATTTTTGCGAGAACGACTTCATCCGGCACTTGGCTCAGATGCTATTGCGCTATGAAATCGCTAGATGTCGTGTGTAATTAGACATCGTTGTCGGAGTTGAGGTTTATAGCGAACATAGTTTGTCCCTGGCCCGAGCGGCTGATCGGATGGAGTAGAGTTGCCGCTTTGCAGACGTCTGTTTGGGATATGGGAAACTCTTTTCTTGCATGATGGGTATTTTTTGCCGTGGTATCCGCCGACTGTTCAGTCTGTGAGGGTTGATGCTGCTCGAGATTGGTTCGGTTTGATGGCTGTTGGCCCGTCGTGCTCTGCTTAGTATGGACGGTTTGGAGGGCTTGGCCATGTCGCTATGGCGGCTTTAGCTTTGGTGGTGTGAAGAGCAAGTCTGATTAATTTATTAAGGGTGGAATAGCTCTATTGAGGGTCTTGAGATGGAATGAAACGTAGATTGAGACATGTTTAGTGGTGAGAGTCTGTCACGGGCGATGGATCACCACTTTGGTCCTTTGA